CGACAATATGATTGTGTCGTGACTGTGTTACCCCTTGCATTCAAAGATTGTAACCATTTTTTTACAAAGTTATTTTACCTAGACGACTTGAAGTGCTAATTTCTTTTATACGAACAGATCCCAAAAGCTCCGAATTCAAGTGTAGTATTATGACTATCTGTAAAATTATCTTATCGAAATTTAATCAACAGCATATTGAATAGAAGATCATTTCTATTGGAATGATAGGGCTATACCTCTATAGAGTCATGGTAGAATTAGGACACAAACCTTTGCCTTCAAATAGGCCTTTCACCAGTTATTTTAAATGTTCTTACAAAATGTCGATTAAGACGTACGTCTGACGGCAACCTACGTGAACAAGCCTTCGGTGCTTCTTGAAAGTGAGAGCATGCCAAAGTCTGTTTTTAATAAGGTTTTTTGCAACTCGTATCCTTCAGTAATGCTATGTCAAGCAAAGCAGACCGCGCAGTCTTCTAGACAGTGAGAACTGCTTTATCTTTATTTAGTACATGGCTCTCCTATCAAAAAGCTAAAAATCATTTTACATTAGGTCGACCCCCAGCCAATACCGGTTGGTATTTTGTCTGGGGGGGGGGGGGGAACGATACGCAATGTAAATCCAGAAGATAACAACACTTAGCCATCAGGGACAGGTCGGTTTAGGCCGATGAATATATCTTCATCGTGTCGCTTTTTCGTTAAAAAATGACAAATGCATGAAATCGCGTTGGACTCTTATTGGAAGAAGCAACGTCAACTCAGAATGTAACAACATGTAATGTGAATTAGATCAGGACAGCTCTTAGGAAGAGGTCAATGTTTGTCGGCTGGGTTTGGTGACTTCGAATGGTTAAACCCTTCCGTGGCCGGCCAGAAAAGCAATAGGCACTGCAAAATGAACTTTAGGTTCGTTCACGGCGCAAAAGTCTAGCCTGAATCGTTCACTGATAAGGCAAAATCGTCGTTATGTGGCAGGCGGGCTGCTTAGCAAATTTAGCGATGTGAAACTCTAACAAATAGACGGCGACCCCGCAAGGATTGCAGCTTTGTGAGAATTTCAATCTGGATTAGGTAGTAGACCATTTATTGGAGTCTTATATGATCGAATAACATATGATGCCTAAGTTGTTATGAAACCTGTTCAGGGTTGAATGACACTCCTGCCTAGAATAGGAATACTTAGAACACCTTAGAAGAATGAAATTAGATCCTCGGCTTAGCACCAACTAAGATAACTAGGACTCGTGTAAGGTCGCTTATTTAATGAAGTTGTTTTCTATTATGTTCAATTTCTTGGTCTAAACATAGTCTATCAGAATAGCTATAATTGCCAGCTATTATTTGCTGTATATATAGAGATACACGTGAACATCAAGGTACCATCTTTGCTTATCGCCTTTGCCGTCACCGCAAATGAGGTTGAATCAAGTTCAACGAGCCCTTGTTAACAGCCAGACATTCACCCATCGTGACCAAATCGTCAAAGAGAACGCTGCTAACGAACTCAATTGACGGAAAGTTGATTAATGTAATTTAATGTAAAATATATATATATATATATTTACGATATTTTTGAGATGTAAGGTAAAAGGCTCCAAACTTGTGGTAAATCTGGGGATGATTTTGTATTAATAGACAGTATTTCTTCAACCTATAGATGAGAGCATACATGGAAGAGTGTAATAAATCTGCGGGAACAAATAACGATGATTACCTAGTTTTGAGCACAAACAACCTTTTGGCATAGGCGGCTTTTAACAAGCGCAGCGTCCTTAGTAAAGTTCACCATTTATTGACTTAGGTTTAGTTCTTCGAAAAACTCGCTAATAAGCCAAGATAGTCTTGGAATTAAATCGAATAGTATTATCCGTGGCTTAGGCACACGAAGCCGTAAAAGATAAACTAATTTAAACTTACGGTAGCGAAGATGGAAAAATCTGCAAAGTTTTTTAAAACAGACGTAAGGTATCACAAACACTAGTACAAATATGAACTCTAAAATAGGAACAATATATAATAAACATCTGGATGAACCTTAGGTTATCAAAAGCCTCATAAATGAAACCCTTTTCCCTCCTATAGCTCTTACGAACCAGTATTATCCTATTCCAGCTGGATAACAGCAAGCAACTTACCATCAAGCGAGCATAATTATCGACCTTAATTATTGTCACTTGAGGACCTATCGTCACATTTCCACAGCGCCTTAGACTGCACACCTATTCGCCATTAAGGTCGGGCCATTGCAGCGAGTGGTGCCATAGTCGAGCTAACATTAATAGTGTAGTAAGTTATCGAACTTCTTTCTTAGTGTCCTTCTCTGTTTTCCAACCGCAAGGGTCTGTTCCATTATTCGAGGTTTTTTGTTTTGACGGTGAACGTTCTCGGCGGCACACCCGGTGCTCAGCAAAGCATTACGTTGCGCTAATAACGCTGCACCAATGACAGAACAAACACAAAAAGCGTTTCGTCGCCGACATCCGTCGCGCTGTTTCCGTCGCGTTTTAGACGCTGCCCCCAGCAACCCGGCAACCCACTGAAGGGCCAGTACAATGGACTGAATTGCACTTTAGGCACCTCTCGTGGCTGTTTTTATAGCTGCAACGAAAGCTGCTGTTCATTCCAGACCCACTCTATGACCCCGACTGTTTTCTGCAAGAGCAATTGCGGCGGCGGCGGCGGTCGGTGTTTTTGTTGTTGGTGCCTTCTTGGGACGTAACGTCCTGCCCCATCCATCTAAACGCTATTGAGCGCCACACTAGTTCAGCAAAAGGCGGCAAGATCAATTGAGTGAAAGAAATTTGCTGGCAATTGCCATTACGAGAATGATGGTGGGCATTCGATGCGGTAGTAATAACTCGGAGTAATAATAAATCGGAGTTCTACAGAGAGCACTAGTGGCAAGTGAATCGAATGTACCCAGACATCGTCTCGCGTTACTTAATCGTCAGGAGATTCACGGAAGAAATGACGTGTTGAAGTTTGACAACGGAAAGAGAAAAACCTGTTTTAATTAAGATGGCTGAACGAATGGAGGGTATGAAGTTTAACTTATCTAGAAAACATCATTTTCAGCTCTCTCACGCTTTGCTAGAGAATCGTTTATTTGCAATTTATTTGCGAATGCTTTTCTCTACCTCATTTGCGGGGCAGGCACTGTACTCCTTGCATTGATCCATGACCTTATCACGACAAGCCATCTGTAATAAAGCAAATAACTACTGTTATACATACATAGAGTGATAATACGTATTTAAAACTTAAAAAAATATCAATGCATTGCTTAGTTGAGTGATTACAATAGTTCACTAGGTAACTTAATGCATTCAAATAGATGTTGGCACAACGAGATGTCACAGTTCGGTATTTAACGTACTCGTTTGACGTGTTACTTCGTTAACGACATCCGATTGACCAATACGCGAGGCCGGAGATAAAACGAAGGCTAGATCAGAAGATCTTTTTCCCCAGAAAATTCAAAAAACTCCCTGGAGAAGCAGCATAATAATTTAGCAACGAAAATGATTATTGCGAATAGCAGTATCTAAGTTGGGCAGTGTATTGCTTATCTGGATGTAAAGTCGCGGATTTTTCTACACCCACATTTAGATACATACAGTCTCGCTACGGCCGAAAGCCCGAAAAATGATAACGGCGTCGAATTCAGATCATTAAGTATCCAGAAAACATTCAGTATTTCGACATCAGGGAGCCCAGAGAGAGGAAATCTTTTCAATTGAATTCTGAACGACATACAACGCATTTTATTACGATGAAATCAAATTGGCCTTTTCTGTCTCCATCGGAACAGGCGTGTTACGTTAACTCCGTCAGAGGTATTTTATTTAGCGAACTGTTAGCCAATAGCGGGAAACCTTACCCACATTAACACTTTTTGATACACATTTAGACAAGATCACGTCTCTGCGGCTCTTTGCCTGAAGGCAGTAGATTGTGTTGCTTGCTAGCAATTTCAGATGTGGCGGTGACCCCAAAATAAAGCATTCGTTTACGGTAACTGCCTGTCGAACTTCCGTTTGAATTTGAGCGCCGGTCTTTTCCGTAAACAGAGACACAGGCGAACGCATAAGATTATTTACCTGTAATTTGCTACGGCCAATAGCTTTCGTTTTTAGAAATGGAGCTTTTCACAGAACATAAATAGTTCAAGCCTAGCTCTCTCCGTACACAGCCAACGGTCTAATAGAAATCCACTCCAGCCTTCGTACATAATGCCCCCAATCTGCGGGTTTGGCTACACCCAATTCCACCATTGCTGGTTCAGTTATTGTTATAGTTGATTCTGTACTATAAGCGCAATTTAAGAGCATTGAGCAACTGCATTGGGTGTGGTGTGGTGGCTGGTGCCGCATTCGACCAGTTTAAACGGTAACAGCTCACTCTTTAGCAGTCCCTGTAAACAAGTGGCCTTAAAAAACCAATTCTAAAAAGGTCAAAAACCTGGGAGTCGCAGGTGGTCCAACGGGCTAGGAGGCTACGAGGAGCTGAAATGGATCGGCCACAAACGTTTTATCAAAATTTGTTAGGGGATAGTTTGGCGGTATGATGTGCACCAATGAAGGCAATCGAAAACGTTCGGATACGTCAATCTTCGAATGGTACTTGAACAGTGGAAGGCGCTTTGGGCGATATACTCAACTTCTGCTCGGGGAATGAAAAAAACAATCGTTTGCTGTTCACTCTGTGATTTAGTACGAATTGACCAAGTTACAGTCTCTGCAAAAGAATCAACAAACACAAAGGTCCCGTAGAGGCCGGTACTCATGACCCCCCAATACTTCAAAAATAAACAAATACAGATAATACGAACGGAACATATCCTCGACAATAATAGATTCCGCCATAGATTGCCTCGTGAGAAAGCGCACACACAAGGGAAACAAATTGTAGACAGTAACATCTAGGAAGCTCCACGGCTGTATATCGTGCACAGCGTAGGCTTATAGAAAAATTGTTATTGGAAAATGTCGGATATTTCATCCGTGAACGTGAATCTTACATAGGCATATAGTTGCATTACGTCCAGGATTTGTAGGTTGCGTGCCCGATAGGTGCAACGATAAGCAAACAAATCAAGATGTTCTCATAACCAAGCCTTCCTGTTCAGTTGTCGTCTCCTTTTTTTTTTTAGAGAAAACAGTGTAAGAGAAAACTTATTGACTGCTGATTTTCGTAGAACGCATTGCATAGCCACTTCGCGCCGAACAAATTTTACGGATTTTTGGCAAAATTTAGATTAGATAAGCTAGTAACAGTGTGTATTGTACTGTTCTGTTCTTGCGTACACAATACGCGATCTTGGCGACCATTATTTATAGAACACGTAATTTACGTACAAACGCAAAGATTAAATAAGCAAGTCGTCAGCTCTGCCACGTATGACTCTGTGTTGACAATGGATCTCCAATATAAAACAGCATCACAAGTGCGTCCAAACTCCCAACAAGGATACATGCGTGTTAGGCGCATAGTCAGCACACATAGAGACATATCCGTAGGCGAGATCCCTTGAGGACGTAATTCGGGAAAGTCCTGTCTGCCTATTCGTTTCGTATACCGAAATAACAGAGGAGACAGGCGAATCTTTTTTATAAAGCACTATACAAGGGCATATTAGCACAGCTGTAGTTCCGCTATACTTGACGGTGACAGGGCCTATCCGACGACAGTTCCGTGGTCCCAGTTACTTTTACGGTCGCTGCTGAACCAACGTAATATTACGATGCCCAGAGGTATGCACGATGTGTGTTCGTCGTATCGTATCGTATTGTGTTGCTGAGTCACAGTATATGCTACTAACAGCAATGGTGGCAGTAGTACAGAGGCAATATAACGAACTGGAAAATGCATAGACCACTTATACGTCCTTGGCAAATGGACATAAACGGTGACAAACTCAGCACTAGGAGAGCTGATGTAGCATGATGTTCATCATCGGGAAGACCTTGCCCTTGACATCATCGTCATCAGTATCAGCAGCAACAATATCAGCGACAGAGTAGTAGTTAGCGACGTCTGTCTCGTTCGTTTCTGATCATAAGATAAAACCAGACAAAACAAGATTTGCTGTCATCCTGAGGAAGGATACGCGGGTAAGCGGGGATGACACGATCATCGGAAACCCGCTAAAGCTCTTTGAAGTGCGCTAATACAACTATCGTCTGATGAAGATATGAGGGGATTTTCCTCGTCGCTCGCATGACACGGACATGTAGGACGTACGCGTTATATTATATACGGATACTGGCACGTATTCATATTAGAGACGATAAATTTACATCGTATTCTTTACCTAGACTCGCGTTACTGATTAGAATTTTCACTGAACCTGGATGAGATAATAGATTATCTCTACATGACATATGTAAACACGTAGGTGCTTTTCTCTCATAATTACTAAGAGATTCGGTAGCCTCAATAGAGTTCATCAAAAAGGTATGTAGCCCAGGGTCCTCATTTTATCTTTATGCTGTAGATTTGGGACCTACAACCACCAGTTGCGCAATACCAGCTCGGAAATTGGCGGAAAGTATGTGGCAGTAGAGATATTGAAGTAAAAGAGTTACTGCTACTGTAGCCGAACTCCTAACCGGAGCCTCATCGCTTACTCCGTCTGGAGATCGAGGGTGTTACACAGAACGAAACTTTGTACCATAAACATGACAGTAGCAAAAGCACGCGAAAGTCTCCTCCAGGCAAATGGCGAAACTACGGTCGTCACATAGTAACCACGTCCATTCTGTGATCATGGGACCTGGCCGAACGTGATCTCCCCGAACGGAGCAGCCGCTTTACGAACCAGGCTCTCCTACAATTACATACACAGTCCTTTTACCTTTTGAAGTTACGGAACTAGCAGACTGCTATCACTACTATAAAGGGCGGCCCCAGTTCCCCACCTCCGGAGAGAAACCCCTCAGTGATGAGTGCTTAGTCAGAGCCGTACGGGTCGCCCGCTCACACTACCTCCACATAATTTTCTGTATAACGTCACGGTAACTGTTCAACGGACTTTGTAGCCACCTAGTCCATACTTTCTGCGCCGACAATATAGCAGCACTAAACATCTATCTCTGTATCCACTTGTCGAGAGTTTGCTCGGACAGTTTTACCCAATCCCCGTGGACATTATAGACTGCACAACGTAGAGAACAGGTGACGCAAGGCAGGCTCAGGTTAAAAGGCCGAAAAAGGCTTACAGCTAACTATCAGAAAACGACCGAACTATCAAAGTACTCTGTTTCGAATGATTGACTTATACAAATCGACTGTGTTACTGCAGATATTCGAAATTAACCTCATTAAGGGCAGGTGATAATAAGACGTGCTAACCAAGGGTCGCGTACGCCGCCTGGTTGTCATGAGAATACCACCAGTGCTGCAGAATAGTGTAGAATGACTTTATCTGTAGCATAAATCGCAAAGATACCTATTGCGTTGTACGATACTTACGCTGCGTTTAAAGCAATTGTAGGTGTTTGTATATTTGTTTTTCCCAAACCATTTAGCATTCGTTGCATAACTGCGAGGCACCTATTTAGGTGTCATGCTCATACTGCCCACAACCTTTCCAAAAAAGCTACGTTTGTGATAAAATTGTAATTACGCATCTAGAAGATTCGATAAGATAGAACGCGATATTTTAGGGCATAGTGCGCTTAGAATCTTCTGTCGGCAGACTTCTAATAAATCAAAGAACACGAAATATGTTTCTAATATTACGAAAAAGCGGAAAGTAAATTTAGTCAAGTGGAAAAAAGGGCTAGACCAGCTTTACATTTTACCTATAGAGTCTTTAAGATAATAATAAAGATAAATAATAGTAATCGTCATTATTAATATGTCCTGTTGAGAAATTAGATGCATCAAAGGCATCACCATGATATGAGTAGCCTACGGGGCAAATTTGGTTCAATGACGGGCAAAAAGAGATGTGGGCCATTGCAGTTCCCGCGCTTACCACGTCGAAAACAGATCTGGTCCTATTCTGTTTCGATTCTCCATTGGCCGGCGGGCCTTCGGTTCAACCTTCGCATCGTTTACCAATACGCTGAACACGACTGTTGCCGGCGAACGTATTGATCAGACGTCGCCGTCTGTACTGCTTTATACCTAATTTATAACAATTTGTTTATAGAATTTCGCTTTTTTATATTTTTACCGCGCGCGCTATTATAAG